GTACGGACAAAGACATGTGTAAACTGAGTCCAGAACGACGAGGCAAACTCCTGGTCGGCGACATCATCATCCCCGGCTTCCTCTATTGGCTTGCCTTGGGCCTGCTGACGCAGAATGCCAAGCTCGTTCTTCACCTCGCGGTATTCTGGGGATGAGCGCCAAATCTCATACCAATTTGGTCCGTCCTCGGAAATCGTGGTAGCCTTCAGCATCCACTCTGCGGGGTTGGCATCGGAAGGGCATGGGGATGCGCCGTTACGTTCGAGGTAATCGATCATCGTCTTTGCGTTTTTGCCAATATCTGCGCGCATGTAAGCCAAGAGCACATCGAAGAGAGGAGCAATAACCCTGAACAGCTACTGACCTCCAAAATAGACAGTCTTTCCTCCACGTTGCAGCAAAAGCAACCTATCGAAACGGGCGAAAAGCATGGCAGACGGCTGGTGAATAGTACACAGAATCGCCTGGCCGCTCTTTGCAAGCTTCTCAATCAAGTCGCAAATCGACCAAGATGTCTGAGAATCGAGCCCCGAAGTCGGCTCATCCAGGAACACCAGCAACTGCGGCCTAGCAGCGAGCTCGACTCCAATCGTCAGTCTTTTACGCTGTTCAACGTTGAGTCCCTGTCCAGGGACTCCGATAACTGCATCGACAAAGTCACTCATGTCGAGCAACTCGATTACTTCGTCAATGTACGCCAACTTAGCCTCGCGAGGGGTCTCGGCACTTTGCCGCAGCAACGCACTAAACTCGAGGGCCTCTCGAACGGTCATAGTTTCCAAGTGGACATCTTGCTGCTGGACGTACCCGACGCGATTCAGGAACGATCGGTCTGTTGCTTGGCCGTTGACCCTGGTGTCGCCGGATATCACGCCCATGGTGATTCGAGCGGCGAGAGCGTCGAGTAGTGTTGTTTTACCAGCACCAGAGGCGCCCTGTTCGAAAGTTAGAGATGAACAAGGGGATATGTAAGCAAGAACACATACCATGAGAGCTGTGATAACACCTGGTTGCACCCAGCCGTCCACGAAATCCAAGATGCGCCGGTCCTGGTCTTTGATCTTGACATCGTAGCAGATGTCCTCCCAGTGGAAGATTGGCTTACCGCACTCACTCGGTCTCGGTCTTTTCTCCAACATCTCATCTGTCGGCATCGCAGAGACTTTCTCGGTCAGAGTCATGTTGCGGGACTGACTTTCTTCGTCGGTCAGGGCTTTCTGGTCTATCGCGGAAGGAACTTTGCCACGTCGGAAGACAAGAACTTCGCCTTCGCTCTTGGGCGGCTTGGCGTACTCGGCAGTGATGATGTACGTGATGAAGAATACCACGACATACGCACATAGAATGCCGACGTTCCTTGGAAAGGTCAGATGAATTCCCAAAACGCTCGATCGTCGCAAACTCACCTCCACTTGTTATCGTTGAAGTAACCAAACGATTGCTCGATGTACCTATCCCCATCTATCATATCGGAGCCTGGTACGGCGCCCACAACAGCGCAGGTACGACCAGATATAGAGAGGCCATCATATTCCGGACCAGACGGCACGAGCCCAGCGCATAAGAACTGATGGCCATGAAACTCATTGGCCATGAGCGCCTCGAACGCATAAGAGAGTGGGTTGACGTAGCCCATCCAGCGTGACCACCCCTGCATGTAGGCTGTTGGTACTGTGAAGCCGGCATACATCATTACGCCAATGGTGACGATAGTGACAGGGACCATGGCTTGATGTGAAGTGCGTGCGAGGGATGCCATGGTGCGATAGATGCCCGACATGGCAAGGAGCACCAGGAAGGAGACAAGGCAGAAGAAGAAGAAGGGCCCGGGCTCGCGGTTCAAGTTTGCCATGAAGTAGAGTATCGAGTTGAACGTGAAGACGTTGGTGATTTTATATGGTAACTCGGTGATGTAGCTCGAAATGGCTTCCGCGGACTGGTGATAGAGGGCATATCGATTGTGCTTCTCGATGACGGGTCTTTGAGTGTACAATGTGAGGACCTAGGTCATTGTGAGTTTCAAGATCAAAGCGAGGCACGAGTATCCAGATAGAAAAACACGCATCGCGGCTGGATGATGTGTACAAACCTCCATTTCGCTGGCAAAAGCATTGAACAACAGAGCAAAGAAGATGAGCCCACCACGGTAGTAGAACGTCCCCGAATCCTGCCTCAAGTTGAAAAACATGCTTCCTAGCACGAATCCAACAATAATATTAAACACCAGAGAAGACAGCGTGAACTCGGGATCGGCAACCAAGCGCTTCCATCCGCGCCAAAGACATAGCTTGACTTGACTCGGATATGTAATCATGTAAGGCGATTTGAGTCGTTGCCATGAACTTCTCTCGGCTTTAATGCTGTCCTGGAACGCCCCGAGGCGGTCTTTTGACGAATGATTGCCATCGTAGGCCGCGATGTCTGTCATGAGGGTGGCATGCTGTTTGGATGCCTTCCAACGAGCAGCGAACTCTTCAGGAGTACGTGGGGCGAGGTGATCGTGGCCCGGCCGAATCTTTCTTTCGTTTGGAGATGTCATTGACGTAAGGAAGTCTGGAACGGTTTGCCGGTCGGGGCCTGTATCGTTTCCACGTCAGAACGAAGATCAGATAGAAAGAGCATTGAGTAGGCATTTACACTGAAAGCCAAGCTCCTCAAAGTACCGCTTCGCTTCACCAATCTTGCCAAAGAAGATCTGCCTCCCCTCGTACACCACCGTAACCTTATCAAACAGCTACCAAGGTTGTCAGCAAAAGCAACCCCATATTTCTCTCGTGACCATCCAAGGACTAGTACCGCACTTACATCATACGCAGACTGCGGCGCCTGATAAATCGCCACAACAGACGCAACCCCCAACAAATCACTCTGCGTCCTCAAATTCCGACAAAACGCAATTGCGTTGCCGCTATCGAGCCCGCGCGTGCTATTATCCCAACACTGAAACTTGGCCCCCGTCAGCGCCGCCTCGACGATGCTCACGCGCTTGCGCTCGCCGCCCGAGACCCCGCGCACGTAGTCGTCGCCGACTTTGGTGTTGACAGTGTGGGCGATGCCAAAGGCCGCCATCATGACGTCGCGCATGATGCGCGCGAACTGTTGGCCCGTGAGGTTTCCGGGTACGCGGGAGGGGACTCGCGCCCGGGCGGCGAATTCGAGGGTGTCGCCTACGGATAGGGGCGCGAGGTGGACGTCTACTTCGGCGTTGTAAAGGACGTCGCCGCGGAACCAGTCGTGCATGCGCTTTGGTTCGATTCCTGGTAATCTGTAAGCCATGATGTTGCTGGACTCTGAATGAGGAAATCTGGCTTACCCCGGAAGTTCATGTAAGAATTCTGGGCGACATTCAACCCTTCAGTCTGACCAGCCAACGTCTTGAGAAGAGTAGAGCACCCTGATCCAGGCGGACCAAGCACAAGCAGCATCTCCCCAGGCTCAACAAGGCCTTCCAAATCTCGCAAAATATCGATCCGTTTCCTCAACCTCCCCGTAACAAGACCAACAAGATCAGATACCATGCTCAGCGCAATGTTTCCCGTGCTCTTCTGGTACTGAGTCCCCGAGCTATATCCAAAGACATTGAGGTCTCGAAATGCGACTCCCGCACTCCTGTTGGGTGCCGAGTTGGGATCTGATTCGAAGAAGTGGATGAAGGCCTGCGTCCATGCTACGCTGTCAAAGTTTGAGGAATTCGGATCCAGATGACTATTTTTGGGTGGGTTCAGGACATCGTAGTGTGTGTTGGCATCGTGGGTGTGTGATACGTTTGTGACTTGGCGTGCTAGTTGTTCGATTTCTCTTTGCGTGTCGTCGGCTGCTGTCGAGGACGAAGATCCCGAGAATCGATCGGTCGACACCATCTCGATGCCGGCCTCATCACCTGCTGTCATGGTCTAAGCAGCTGTCGACACACTCTATTGTGGGACAGGGTCTGTAGTACAGTTTGGTGTCAAGTGGTTTGAGATGATGAGGTTGCAGTGAACGGATATCAAATGAACCATCGACTTACAATTACATGTCTGCTTCTATCTATCTTTTGAGCAAAATTTCAATACATAATAGGCATCATACCAACAACTCGGATCGTAGCCTGTGTAAGTGCGGACGCCCGCGGTCATCCGCATTGCGCCTGATGTGGGGAAGTAGTCTGGGACTGCCAGCACGGGCGGCCGGCCGCTTCGTAATGTTCGTATTGTCCACTCTCCATAGGACTATTCGCCAAGCCGTGTTTCTATGGGTCAAGTCATTACGGATCGCTATGAAATTGTGGTTGTGATGTCGAACCCATGCCGCTCGGGCTGCCGCGGGTGGCCGAAAGGACGCGGCACAATCAAAAACGGGGCATTGATCCCCATGCGAGAGAGGATTACCAGGCGGTTGTCTAATCTCGCGTCCCCGACGGCAGGTTCCCCTTCTCTCTAGCAGAGTATCTGCTTAAGCATGTCCGAAAAAATGGAAAACGTTTGGATTTCGGGGCTGGACTGCTCGGATCCGTAGACGTCCGACTCTGGAGTAGTGCCAACTGCCAAAGCGAAGGTGATACTCGCAGCCACCACTTGATAGAATTTAACTTCAGCTAGGCCGCCTCGAGAGCCTACTTTAATCATCCCTTGCAACTTCGTGGAATACAAGAAAGTATGCTGGGCCACAGTTAAACCGACGGGACGAGATTCATGCCGATCGCCCGGTGCGGAGACCGATATGCCCCATATTTCCGGCGTTGATGCCGCTCAGCCCCGGATCTCGTCACGGAAAGCCACCTTGGGCCATTCAATCATCCAACCCGGAAGACGGCGAGATGATGCACATTCCCATACTTCTGAATATCGCATTCTCCGTTCCTTGACATCTATCTAATGACTACGGACCTCTTGAGAATATCCCTCACTCCAACACCAACTCCCTTCCCCTCCATCGACCAAATTCAACCCGCCAATCCCTAAAGCAGCATCATAACATACGAACATATCTCCAAGTCGTGATCGTATTCCTTCACATTCATAAACCATCAAACGTCATTTCGAGCACCAAACGGACACACATCCATCACCACCACCACCACCACCACCACATTCACCACCACATTCACCTCCTCTACCAATCCTCACTCCTGCCCAGCCCACCTCTCCGCAACCCTCGACGTAAAAAACACCCCCGCCGCAAGGATCGTGAACCCCGGCGCAAAAAGCAACAAAATCCCCACAACAACCATATTCGCAAAGAATTCTGACGTCCCAAACGCCGGGGCGCGGCCGATAAAGCCGGGGCCCATCGTGTGGACAGTCACCGTCGGACCAGCGGTCTGGGTCTCTGTCTGTGTCTGCTGCTGCTGCTGTTTATCCACCGGTGGTGCTTGGTGGCCCCCCGTCGTCTGGCTCTGGATCTGCCCTAGAGCGTGAAAGATGTCTGATGCGAGGGGTACATGTTCCTCGTCGATCGTGACGCCCGAGAGCCAGGCGTGGATGTTCTCGTGGGGGTCTTGTGACCTCTTTGGCGGAGGGGGCGGCGGACGACGAGGTTGAGGGTTGGATCTCGGTAGGACGGGGCGTGTATGTTGGGTTATCGGCTGGCCGTCTTCTTCATAGATGAAGGAGCGTCCATGGCCATCTGCTATCCAGTGAGCAAGTCTTGCAACTCAAGCTGACCTAGAGAGAGAGTTGTTCAGCCTACCAAACTGATCTGCCCAATTCATGGCGTTCAAAAAAGACGTCGCGAAGATCGATGAGGTGCGCTGGCTATTCCTTAGTGGGGGGTCGATATCTTGAAGCCGTAGTACCAAAATGAGGGGCAATTGAGCTTTCGTCTTTCGACGGTAAGTGGATCACAATGAGCGCTTACACCGGGAAGGAAAAAGTTGTCATTATCGTCAAGAACGGCTCCTGGACGAATCCGCCGAGATAAAGCTGGCCAATATGGTTATTGACTGTTTGTTTGACACGTGCGTTGTCGGGGAGAATGGAGTCAACACTTAAGTGGTGATGGGCACTGGAATGCTTCATTTCACAAATGTTGCTGGGCATTGGCTGGGGCTCCATTCCATAGCACCTCTTATCCCATGTTAAGGCAGGTATGCCTTTGGCGTAAGTGCGTCTCACCTATCCAGGCAGTAATCACTACTCTTCAAAGTGTGGTTTAAAGGAGGTGAGCCTCGTTAAGAGGCAATGAATGGAGAACGGCAACCATCAACAGCCGACCGACATTCGATACAAGAGTTTTGAGACTGTTGTTCGCTGGGGCTAGAATGGATCGAATCTTCACGACTCCAGCTCGCGAGAACAATACGGCATAAGAACCGCGCGCAAGCAATTTAAAGGTCCTTGTATTCCCATCCGGCCTTGAGTACTGTATGCAAACATTAATCTCATCAATCCACCCCTGCCATACTGCCGGTAATCTACAGCCCTTACCCTCATGTTCATGTAGACTGCGTCCCGAGTCAAGAGGCCTAGAAGCCGCATGACGGTACATACATGTGCCCCCATGCCGGCCGGTGACACTGCAAATATCCCCATCAGGGATGTTGCAGCGGGACACATTTGTCTTTCTGCAGCAAAAAAGTTTTCACCTCGAATTTGAGTTATTCTTTTGTGCCCAGTGTAATAAAAAAAGAAGTTCTTCGTCGTCCATCATCCCGTTTCCCATTCCTGGTTTGCCCAAGTCACAAAAAGAACACCGTGCTTGCAGCGCGATCGAAACGTCCTCAATCAAGGACCCCAGCCCGCAGAAAGGGAGAAAATCTTAAACGCCATCGCCAACCATTTGTTTCCCTCCCAGCCGTCCCTATTGCCCGCGAGAATAGAGACAAAGGGAAAGAAAACGTCGTCGTCTTCGCAGTTCATACAGTAAAAGGAAAAGGTAGTAGGTACATAGGGAAAGAAAAAGCGACTTGGTAGAGGTCGGTGGAAAACGAATGACCGCTTTCAATGCAAGAAACGCCATAGGTATGTGCAACGCCAACGTTGAAGTGCTTGTCTAGAGAATAGAACGAAGATGAGCCCAGTTGCAAACGACGCCGTCAATGACGGGGAGTCGGCTCGGGTTGCCAGCCATTAATGTAAGCCATGAGACCCATGCCAAGGATTACCACGCCAAGCATGGAAGCATAGGGAACCCCGGCCATCATGGCCTGGTCCTTTGCCAGCTTGCCCGGGGGTATGCTAAGTGGCGTAATGGTGTTGGCTCGCGACAAGGTGGGCTTGTCGCCAAAGTCATCCGCGGGGGACTCTGCCTGCGTGGGAGCAGGCGTCGAGTCACCGGATCCGTTAGTTTGGACAACTGAAGTAATCTTCTCGGCAGGTCCTTCGCTCCGGCCGCGTCGTCCTCGGGAAAGAGAACGATTCTTCTCGGCAGCAGCGGCGTTTTGCCTGGCCTCCTCGTCTCTGCGAATCTGGGCAACCATCTCAGCTAGAGTCTGGCGATCGGCGTCACGCTCCGTCTCGGCCTTTTCGCATCTGTTCTTCCATGCCTCCATCTGTTGCTTCAGATCCGTCACTTCTGACATCATTGCGTCAAGCTTGGCCTGGAAACGTGCAGCAATATCCTCAGAGCTCTCTGACGCAGGCTCCTTGGAGAGCGGTTCGGCATCTGTCATCTCGATATCCTGGGTGTCGGCAGTATCGCGGGGCGGCTCGAAAGCCTCCTCGAGGAGAGCCTCGGTATCTTGCTCCTTGGGGGCGCCATTGGTTTCCTTCAAGGCACTGTCCTCAAGGATCTTTGCCATATCCTCGGCTAGCTCGCGGGCCTCCCGCTCTTTTCGGAGCATGTCTTCCAAGTCCCTAATACGGGCCGTCTGGGTATCCATCTCCTTCTTTGCGTTATTCAAAGCTTCGGTCAACTGAATGATCTGATGCAAATTGTCTCGTCCAACGGGCGAGGTGGTGCTATTAGTCTTTGGTCGCTCGGTGGTGCCCCGTTTCAGTGAAGGAACATCGGGCTTCTCAGGCAGCGGCTGCTGAGGAGGCGGAGCAGGAGGATCGGAGAATCTCGTCTTCGCATCGGTACGGAAGGGTAGGGCATTGCCATTGGGAAGCTGCTTCGGAGGTTCGGGGGCTTCCGGCTTCTCGAGATCCTTGACATCATCTTTGCTCAAGAGAGCATGAACGAATTGGCCTGTCCGAGACAGGTCTTGAGACTGCAATCGAGCATTGCGCATCTCGTTCTGCGATCTAATTAGCTCCGTTTGATGTGTCTAGAAAATCGGGCACTCACGTGAAGTCTCTTGACGATATGCTCCGTGGTAATGGGCGTTAACAAAAATCCACGGGCTGCTCCACCATTAGGGGCCATGCCGGCCATATTCTGGGGTGCCATCATGCGGCCATTACTGGCCATCGATGCGTTGCTTCCATTCCTGCCACGGTAGGGCATTGGGCTCGGCGCCGGCATCATCATGCCACCATTCGCGGGGTCCAAATCGCCAAAATTCATGTCCATAACGTTACTTGAGGGGCTCATGAAGCCAGCGTGTTCAACCTTGGCGGCAACCTTGTGGTGGACGACGGTCTTCTGATCCTCGCTCACAATGTCGATTCCCAACTCTAGATGATCTCCTGTCTGTAGCTCGTGCGGTTCGGATTCGCGATTCTCCTGGGAAAGACGCGTGCCGTTGACAAAGGTTCCGTTTGACGATTTGACGTCGCGGATGTATATCTTGCCGGTGCGATCTGCCCATATCTCAGCATGCTGCCTTGATAGCACTTTACTATCAAAGTAGCCATTGGTGGCAGTCGGGATCGTCTTCTGATTGGTTTGGCGACCGATACGGAGGCTTTCTGGGTAGAATGGTACTGAGATGGTTTTGCGTTCAAAGGTACCATTGAGCGACAAAAGATAGAGCACAGGCTGCCCGCTAGGCATCGGATCGCCCATGGGCCTTGCCCCGAGTCCCTGCTGCGACATTATTTGCGGTTGGCCCGGTGCCGTCTGCAGCGACGAACCGCCATTGATGCCGTTGATGGCATTTCGCATGATAGGTCTGCCGAACTCGGCCTGACCTTCTGGCTTGCCTGGCGGCCATGGTCCTTTGGGTTGTGGTCGCTTTCTCGAGGCGGTGCTGGACCAGCTCATATCAGAGTTTGTAGACGCCGGGGTGCCATTTGGTTGGGAGCCATTGGTGGCAACAGTGGTAGTAGACGAGTTGGAGGAGGTAGACGAAACCGAGGAGGAAGAGTTGCTTCGCTGCAGCGTCTTCCGAGGCGCGGCGAACATGCCTCTGACGTCTTCTGGGTTCATCGAATTCAGACTTTGGCCGCCATTAACATTCCATCCCGGTCGATTGAGTTGCTGGAAGCTGGGCGGACTCGCGACGGCAGTCATGAGGAAATCGTCGTTTGGTTCAGGCAGGGATCGTGGGACAGTGCAAGTCGTGGGAAAAACGAGCAGGTGATGACAGCTCGTAGGGTATCGATGATTATGGATGGTCTGGTCTAGGTGACGTCGGGGGCTCCTTCTTTGACCATTCGCACAGTAGCCCAGAGGGTATCGTAAATATCAGTCGCCGAAAGATAACGCGGATATGTCAGATGGAGTCGATGGATGTTCGCTGCAGAGAGGAGGAAGCAATGAGGCTGAGCTGGCAGGTTAAAAAAATAAGTCAGCGATGATGTCGCGGCAAGGATAGGGGTGGGCAGCCAATTGGCGCGACCCAGAAGCGGCCTGCGACGGGACGGAGGGTCGCAGAAAACCGGGCCAAAAAGGGTCAGACAGACAGGAGAGACATACCAGCAATGTCGAGGGAGTGTGCAAAGAGACGATTTTCTTTGAGCACCACGGTCGACGATGGGCTCAAGCGGAAGCGTCGTCGGGGGGGTCGAGTGGTCTCCGTGGGTAGGCAGGTGAGGTTGAATCTAGGATTTGGGCAAAGAGAACAGAACGTGTCGCTCCGTCTCGCTAAGCGCTTAGCGTAAGTGTGTGAGGTGAGTGCTGGCGCTGGGGGAGAGCCTGTGGTGGGCGGGCCAAACAGCGTTCGGAAACACGCGCCGGAGCCGACTTGGGAGTCTGGGACATGGGCGGTCGGAAACAGCAGGGCCTCAAAGGCTCAGCTCAGCATCAGCGGGTGGGAGACCGAGGGACCGGAAAATTTCTCAGTCCACCACATACATACATACATAGTTTATTACGCCCCGGCTAAGCTGTTTAGGGCTCGCATGATTATCTACATATTCTCCACATTCGTTCATATCCTTGCCTCCCAGAAGCCCATACAAGTCTTGTTCGTCTCCGTATGTGTCTTTTTTAGTTTTGCATGTCGATGCTGCGGTTGCTCGTGGGGTTAGTAGCAGGCCATCTCGGAGTTGTTTCTCAAAGTGTTCGACGTCCTATCGTCGGCGGCCGAAGCTAGTCCTGCTGTCGATGGCACGAGGATGCGTGGGGGTGTCTCCGGTTAATTTGATGATGTTAGTTGCGTGTGGTTTCGCTGCTGGCTGATCTGTGCATCTAGCCTCTCCGTGCTCATGGCGAACTTGATCGTCTCTTTGACAACGTCTACGCTTGGCGACCAATCCTTAGGGTCGGACGCGCGCTTTCCTCCCAGGAAGTATGACAGATTTCCTCTCCGCGTTTCCGTCTGTTGGAGCATCCGAGTCCGCTGTGCCGTCCACTGTGTGCATCGAAAGAGAAAATGCTCTACCGTTTCTGCAGATTGCCCGCAAGCGCATAGCGCCGCGGCGGTTGCGCCGATCTGGTAGAGGTACCAGTTCAGCCTTGCCATTCCGGTGCGTAGTTGCGCTAGAATGCTGGCTTCTTTCCAGGCCAGTCCGTCATACAGCTTGCGTGTGTGGTTTCCCGGCAGGGCTATGTCGATCTTCTTCGAATATGCTCCTACGTTGTCGGGCAAGGCTCCGTGCTTCTGTCGCACGCTCTGTAAAGCGATCCTAAGTGCCGTCGAGTAGGCTCTGGCCGGCCGTTTTTGTGGTGTCTTGTTTACTTGGGTACTTTCCTTTGCTGCTGCTTTGGCCGCTTGCGCCAGGTCTGACTCTATCGATGATGGAAGCCAGAAGAGAGTGACTCTGTTGCCTCGTCTCTGCAGAGCTTGCACGCTGGCATATAGTTGTCGGATCTCTTGTTGGCCTGACTGCTGCCGCGGGTTGTGCATCAC